GCCCTGGCCCTGAAGCAACCGAATGGCTCTCTTGTTGCGAGGAGTGAACTTTCCTATTATCAGCCTGAGCTTTAGCCAGTATTTCACACCACTGACAGGCAACAGCATGGTGTTACTTTTGAATTATTGTTAGTACCTTGATAATGATGCTGCCTTCGTCATAACCCAATGCCACATTGTTGGAGCCGCGCAAGCCGGACACACACCACACCCGCTCCATACCATAGTTCAGGGTGCTCTCTAGACGGTAAGTGCTGGAGTGCCAGATACGAACCGTGCCTTAACAAAAGACAGTTACAAGAAGCTTTAAAGGTGAAGTGTTCATTTTTAATTTGAAAATACTTTATACTAGTGATGGTAGAAACAAAGCTTTTCAAACTTTGAATCAACTGGACCAATTGCTTCGCAAAATGATTCACTCAAAACACCACACACTAGTGACCACTGTTGGTCAGAACAGTGTAAATGCCGTGAAAATTCAGCCCAAAATCCATAAACACCTTTTACAAACCAATTGCAAATGTTTTATTGAAGGTGTAATCTTTAACAAATCATCTAATACCATTAAATATAAAGTGTCTTTATAATATGTTTTATTTTATTTTTATTCTATTTGTAGGGACTACAACTCTTCCTTTATATCATACAAATGTGTCATGTCTACAATATTATAAAATTGATCCGTGATCAGGTAAAAATCATATTTAGACACTGGTTCATGGGTCCACAGAGATCGCCCCTAAAGGCGAACCATTTAAATTTCGATACATTTTGAAACAGTTATGCCATAACCAAGCCTCATTTACTGAAATCACGTGTCTTCGGCAGTTTGATACGTGCTCGGAATCACTGGATCAAAACTAATTATTTGCAAAGGTTTCAAAGCATCACAAAGCAATGTTTCGAAAGCGCCCATCACTTTATACAATTCCAGTTTAATGTGCAGGGACCACTGAAAGCTTTTTGCTTTCAAAATATTATAGTTATAAAAAAATTATTTAAACAAACATTTGCATAAGGAATGAGGCAGTACAGTTTTATAAAAGTGATCATTAAAAAAAATCTATAACATTATCCTAAAGATGACTCACCATCCTCTGATCCAGTGATGATGATTGGCAGCTCTGGGTGGAAGTTTACACAGGACACATTCTGAGCATGACCCTCAAGAGTCTGGACACATGTCTTATTCTAAAGAGAGAGAGGCACACAGAACAGAACAGAAGTAAATAAATAGCCAGGAATGACTTGCTCCATTGATTATCATCAATATCATTATAGTACCTGATAGTCCCAAATCTTAACCAGTCTGTCATCAGCTCCAGATATGAGGTAGGGTTTATCTCCTCCACTGTAATAATCAATGCAGTTCACCCCCTTATCATGACCCTCCAGAGTAAAGTTAGGAGAGGAAGAGCCCAGCTGCCAAACCTGAAACACAACAAAGAAGAAATGATGGGGGAAATGTCAAGTCAGATTCAAACTGGCTCTATCCGCATAAGTGTACTAACTTACCTTGATGGTTCTGTCCAGCGATGCACTCGCAAACTGGTTGTTGTCCTTGGGGTTGATGACAATCTGCATGACGTAGTGTGTGTGGCCCTCAAATACCTGACTGCAGGACCATTTCTTCTCCCAGTCCCACAGCTTTATCAACATGTCGTCTAAATGCACACACACCCAATGAATGTTAAAGAAAGAGTTTTGTACATACACCACTGTTTAAAGGTTCGGGGTTGGTAAGATTCTTTTTTAAACATTTTTCGAAATAAATTTCTTATGCTCACCAAGTATGCATTTATTTGATCAAAAATAGTAATATTGTGAAATATTATGACAATTTTAAATAATATATCTATTTAATAAATTTAAAAAATGTAACTGATGGCAAAGCTGAATTTCTAGCAGCCATTATTCCAGTCTACAGTTTCATATGATCCTTCAGAAATCATTCTAATAAACGGATGTGGTGCTCAAGAAATATTTTCTTGTTATCAAAATAGAAATCTGTTGTGCTGCTTAATATTTTTGTGGACACCGTGATACTGTATATTTTCTTCAGGATTCTTTTATTAATAGAAAATTCAAAAGAAAAGCATTTATTGGAAATACAAATTATTTATAACATTACAAATGTCTTTACTGTTACTTTAGATCAATTTAATGAAATCTTGATGAATAAAAGTGTTTATTTATTTTAAAGATCGCCAAACATGTAAACAGTAGTGTAATATGTTATATAACATATGGTGTATTTTCATACATGTAATATGAATACTTATATGCAAATGTAATCTGTCCATACCGCTGCTCGTGAGGATGTAGGGCTGGGTGGGATGCACAGCGATACACCGAATGTAATCTGAATGGGCCTCAAACATGTGTACTCGCTCTAATGTGTTGTAGTTAAAAACTCGAATTTGCATGTCATCCTAGAAAAAAAGGGGGATTTATTAAATAGTTTAATATCAGTACCAAATCTATAATAAAAGGAATAGTATATTAATAGATATTATATAATAGTGTACATTATTATTCATGTATATACTTACAGCACCAGTTATGACCCAATTTTTCCTGGCAACAAACTTGGCAGCTCTTACTGGCAGGTCACAGACTTCAAACGTCTTAACCAGAGTCTATTAAAAGTAAATATAAGAGATTATTAGACAAACATTAAACACACTTACTGCTCTACTGTATCCCTAATGTTTGTTGTAAAGTTCAGATGGTAATGGATTAAAAATGCTGAAAAACTGCACACGTTTCCTACTTACTTGTGTTTCATGGTTCCACACACAGACACTGCCGTTGTACAGACTGGCCAGCATCCATGGCTCAGATGGATGAAGGTCTACGCTTTTGACACGGTCAGATCGAGCCGTGAGTTTGCGCTTGATGTCCAGCCTCAGAGGCTAGAGGAGAAGAAGAATCAGAATCACAATTACTTTAAAGTTGTTATTAATCATCACCAATCTCTTTTGTCAGCAGTCCCAGTTATATAGTAGTAACACTAATAGTCTATAGAAAAAGCTCAAAACTTAATTGCATCAAGAACAGAAAGCAGTTCATTTTTTTGATTCAACCTGTCTACCCACAACTACACAAACATTTGCCATTTATCGCCCAGTTAAAAGTCTGATATAGTAACAGCAACTAACCTTTACAGCACAGTTAAGAAGCAACACAATTACGTTACAACAAATCATGCCTCAACAAGATAATGTCAGGAGTAACCATGCAACTCAATAGAATATATAAAGCATCACATATCTATAGTGCTTATTTATTAACGTGTCCTGTTAATGTTATAGTCACATTCATATCATCAGCTGTTAGCCAGAACACAAGATATCACTTCATACAACATTTAAGTGGACAATTTATTTATAATGTGTGATAATGTTAAGTTTTAAATGCAAGTGATATCTCAAAAAATAGTGAAAATGAATAAATAATTTACAGACTGACTAAATAAGAGTTGTCTATGTGGCCATTCTAAGGGCCTTGCGAGGCTAACAGCGCGAGCTAACGTTATTGAAAGCGTATTTTTCTTTAATATATGCGAAACAGCTACAATATTGTCCATAACGTAAACATTGATGTGACACTTACCATGTTTGCGTTTGCTGGTTTTTGTCTCCTTCAGTTGCAATATTTTATATCATCCACCGAGAGTCTGATGTGTTTTTCGGCTTCAGTTGTGTGCTGTGCACGGCAGGCAAATGTGACGTGGAACTTCCTCAAAGCCCGTGCGCTTGACGTCGAAAGCGTTGACGTGACACTCGGACGGCTTCGGAGTTTTTCGGGTAATTTCGGTTAAACTCGGCATTTGAGTGACACTGCTTGACGACGTTAGCTTGCAATGAATTTGAGCTTAACCCTTTCCTAAAGACTACACCTTTATTGTACGTATGATTAATAATAAAAAAAAATAAAAAAAATAAAAAAACACCGTGTCAACTGAAAATTCTTAGTGAAACGTGTTCTTAAATATTAAATAAGAAATACATAATTTAAATATGTAGCCTAGTCTCTCAGCAATTGATAGCATTAAGTCAAAAGTAGCCTAATTATACAATTTCCACAGTTTCCCACACTCTATATCTAAATCTTCAACCATCTAATAATAATAATAAAGTATTAATTAATAAATATTGTTTGACTGCTTTGGACACCATCAGGGTCTCTTCTTAATGGTTACAGAATCAATCTTTAATAGTCCTAAAATGTAAAACGATTTTTTTAGCACATTATGGTGAAAAACCCAAACTACATTTAGCTCTGTGTGTTTTCTCAGTTACCAAAGCCAATTTGTTTTTCAATTAACCCTGTAAAGCCTGACATATTTTTTATGAAACAGTAGCCTATCTAAAAAAAAATCTAAATCAAAATGTACATAGCTTATGTTTTTTTTTTTTGTTGAGTAATATCACCAATCTCTTTTGTCAGCAGTCCCAGTTATATAGTAGGCCTAGTAACACTAATAGTCTATAGAAAATAGTTGTAATATTTGATACATCAAGCTTTTATAGTATGAAAATATGGATTTCATAATACAAATAATAACTGAGCCAAAACTAAGCAAAAACATGCAATTTGTTACAGTTGCTGATATTTATATGGCCAAAAGTAAGACATTCTGATTGCTTGTAATGTTAATCAGTGAGATCTTTATAATTGCAGACTACTTGAATCTAAAGTTGTCATTGTATATATCCCAAAAATATGTCCTAGTAAAGTGATATTTAAATGCTTAGTCTAATGATCAAAGATAGTTTTTATTTGTGTGGGGCAAAACATATAATGCAATGCAATACAATAATGATTGAGAGATCAAAAGCCCAGTGGATCATATTTGATGCTCACATTTTAACACTTTTTTAAAATTATGTATGGATAAACCTGTAAGATTTAGTCTAGTAAGTGTTCATCTTGAAATATTTGATACAATAGGCTTTAGGGTTAAGTTACATACACAAGAAATGAAACTCATACTGTAATGTCTCATTATCTTTATTTAGACAGAAGAAAACAAACTCCCACTGAAGTGTTGACAGTGTCACATTGTGAGTCATTTTTATCTCCTGAGAAAGCAGTGATGCCTCAAGTTAACACACAGCTTGATTTTGATAGACTTGTTGAGTAGCTAAATGAATGTGACATTGAATCACATGAAAATTCAGTCTTTTCTTTTATACACTTGTTGGCACACAGCATCCTCACATGTCAACTCCTGCAAGTGAAATGATCATGAGGTCAAAACGTATCCCTTGTCTTTTGAGTACAGCAGAGCAGGACTTTTATGAAAGGATAAAACCATACACTTTACACTTCAAATGTCTTAATTATATTTCATAAAAACTGAAATACTTATCTGAAATAACGTTGCTTTTAACATTGTTTTGGTTAATATTATCCATAGAATGAGGATGCTCACCAGATAAAGTTTGTCATCTTCTATCCAGTGTTTCCATCCCCGGTTGGCTTTCTCACCTTTCTGGGTGGCCATCAATTTGTCACCTTCCCAGGTCACCAGAGTCTGAATATGTAGTCAAATCGGCAGTGTAAAAATTGCAGTGTTAAAAGTTATTAATTCCCAAAGAGTTAAATTAACAATCTACAATGTTAAAAAGTACTCCTCTTCAGTTACAGGGTGCTAGACTATGCTATGTAGTGTCATTTTATTATTAGACTGAAATTGCAAAAAAATAGTTTGATGGCGGATCCAGAAAGCTTCAAACGACAATTACCAGTGACAACTGCAAAAGAGAGACTGCAACCGGGCCCATGTGAAAACAAGGATAAATATCGGAAGGGCGTTAAATGTAGTCACACAATGCTGATGTTGAACATTAAAGGGGTGATGAACTGAGAAATCAAATTTTCCTTAAGCTTTTGACATCTAAGAGGTCATCATATTATAAGAATATCCTGTAAGTTTCAGAACTGAAAACGTCCTTGTAAGTCCAATAAAAGCTTTTATTGACACCAGGCTCAGCAAACGACTCGTTTTTCAAAGTGGGGAACTATGACGACAAAGAGGATAAAACACCACCCCCGCAGAAGAAGATCAACGCCTACTTCAACACGGCCGGTTTAGCCCCGCCCACCGATTCGCGCATTACACGGAACTCATTATAATATGCAAAACTATTATCCACTCACCCGTGTTTACTTCCAAGTCTTCAATGCCAGACGCCCATAAAAACCGAGTGTTTTTGAGCTAGGTTCAAAACTAGGGTAGAATATAGCCTATTACTTATTCATTTTGATGTTTTTGAATGTAAAAACCAAGCGAACCTCATAAGTTGACCTCAGACAACAATATGAAAAAAATTAAAAAGCCAGTTCATGCAGAGCCGTCGCCAGAACATATAGAATGGCGGGGCATTTCATTTTCATGGGGGGGCACACTTTTTATGATGAGATCTACAAAACAGACAGTCACAAAAACAATAACATCCTCTATTTAGTCTAATATAACTGAAATAGACCAAATTCTATATTTAAACAACACCAAAACACAAAATATTAAGTTTCTGAATCTGATCATAGGCGGAGGGTGAACCAACACCATGAGGATATGCGCTTCCCCTTTAAAAACATTTAGGCTATATGCAGGATTTGACATGGCAGAAAGCTCGCAAAGAGCGCCGCCTATTTTATTATCTTTAAAAAGCGGTTATACAACTTCATCGCGATCTCACAAAGTTCCTAGGCTATCAGTAAAGCTGATACACAATAATGCCTTATTTGCATAGCCTAACTGCTTATTATAACGAGAGGATTTCCACGCGCATAGAACTAATCCACTCACCGCTCAAAACACCGGAGTTTAGCCAATATTCTTTTATTACGGAGAAAACTGATCCTAGACCAGCATTTATGGACAGCTTTTCCCTCTAAAAGCAATCAGAAGTAAGTAGCTAATATGGAAGCTTGTTTTCGCCACGGAATTAAAAAAATTAAAAGATAATTGCGACTTTTTATCTCACAATTCTCACATGGATTTCTCTCAATTCAGAGTTTTTCCTCACAATTCTGACTTTATAACACGCAAATGTGACTGTATATCACTCAACTCTGACTTTATAACTTGCCATTTTGATTTTATATCACGCAATTCTGAGAAGAATTACCTTTTTTTACGTGGAAACAGTAGGCTGTTTTTAGCAGGCAAATGAATCAGAAAATTCGACAAGCCCGCTCGGCCAGGGGAAGGCCTTGCGCAGAGCCTTACACGCTCCGACTAATTTTCATATTTCTGAAGACTAATGTGTTATTTAAAATTACAGAGATTAGTGCACCTGTGTGGTAAATGCTGCTGACGACATTTCGTTATGGAATACGTGGATACGTTTTTTTGCTAGTAAGTTTGCTCAGTGACCACCATATGATTAGGGGGGCACGTTGTGTCATCTGGGGGGGCACGGCCCCCTAATGCCCCCCCTTGGCGACGGGCCTGAGTTCATGACCCCTTTAAAGGTGCCCTAGAATGTTTTTTTTAATTATTTTATAATGTTTCCTGGGTTACCCTTATAATGTTAGTATGTTTTTTTAGATAAAAAAAATTATAATTTAGAAATAAATGGCATTTTTCCTAGCCTGCTTTTAGCCTCTGATTTGAACACTCTGTTTGAAGGGGCGTTTCTGCTGTGGGATTCAGTGTAACCGCGGCCACTGCTGTGATTGGCTGACATGCTTGCATATGAAAAAGCAACGCATTACATGTGAAACTCTCTCCCGAATACTTTTACTACTGCTATTATAAGTTTTTACTATAACAGCTATCGAGATTAACGAATCGTGAGATGTTTTTAAAGTATTTAGATCTATTCCCATCACATAAAATGTTGCCGTGATGAGCATTGAGCAAATGACGTGTTGATCGCGAGAATGAAGATCTTATCATTGCAAAGCAGTTCCCTTTCGAGAGGTTCCTCCTATTGCGTAAGCTTACGCTATGGGAAAACTCCTTTTCTCGAGAAATATTGAAGTCTTTATGTAAAACGCATTGCAGCTGCACAGCATACAGCAATGAGCGAGGCAGCTCGGTCATTGGCTGTGCTGCGGCAACTTGCACGAACCAATGACGGGGCGACTCTGAACCCGCTTCCAATGAGCGTGCTTCGCGCCCACGCGCGTCAGAACCCGCCAAGATGGGCGTGGCCAAGGGCTATATATTGGGCGCCCCGTCGTCTGAGTTCTTTAGATTTAATCTCCTTCAGCAAAGAACCTTCTCTTCGCTGGATCCTCCGGATTTGTTGGAGTCTTTTCGCCGCCGCCGTCGACAAGCCTACAGCAGGACTGCTTCGAGGACGCCGGCGCCTTCAGCCGCCTTCGATCCCTTCTGCTAAGCCATCCGGCGCGCATCATCTATATCCTTTCAAAGCTTTCAGTGTTGGCCCCCGCGACACTTTTTCTAAAAGAGCAAATTTAACTAGGCGTTGTTTCAAATGCCTTCCTGCGCCTCGTGTCGAGGCCCTCTTCAGGACGGCGATCGTCACATCATCTGCGCCCGCTGCCTGGGACCGGACCACGCAGAGGCTGCCCTCACTCGAGGCGGATGTCCCGAGTGTGACGCCCTGGGCCTCACCGAGCTGCGCGCTCGCTTCGCCGTTTTCACCGCGAAAGAGCCCACATCTTCCGTGCTGCCGTCTCCTCTAGTCGAGCCGCGAAAGAAAAAACGGCGCTCACAGAGGCCGCCGGAGCACGCGGTTTGCAGTGATGTCACGCCGGGCCAATCCCCGCGTGCTTCACCACCACCCGAAGACTCCCCGCCGCCAGTCCAGTTCACACAGGCGGACCAGCACCCATCCAGCGGAGCGATGGGGCTCGTCTCGTTTGGCGCGTCAGGGGATGACCATGATAAGGATGACAGTTTTTCCTGTGATGCTGCATCCGACGACTGGCCGGGCTCGTCCTTCGACCCCGCGCCATCGACATTAGCGGGCACGAGCGCGGGCTCCAGCATGGCCTGGGAGATCGTCCGCATTCTCTCTAAGGCCGTGGAAGACCTCGGGCTCGATTGGTCTTCCCCGGAAGAACCCGCCCGCAGCCGACTGGACGAGTGGTTCCTGCAGGGGCGCCGACAGGCCCCTCGACAAAGACCCTCCCCCTTCTTCCCGGAAGTTCACGACGAACTCACGAAGTCGTGGAAAGCCCCGCACTCCGCTCGCCTGAAGCCTTCTTTTTCTTTGTCGCTCTCCTCTGTGGACGGCGCGAAAGAAAGAGGCTATGAGGGGACTCCGCCCCTCGAGGAGGCTGTGGCCAATCATCTGTGTCCACCCTCCAACGCTGGATGGAAGGCTAAAGCTTCTCATCCCTCGAAGCCTTGCCGGTCTACTTCAGCTCTCGCCGGTCGCGCATACGCCGCCGCCGGCCAAGCTGCATCAGCGCTTCACTCTATGGCTGTCCTCCAGGTGTTTCAAGCCAAACTTCTCCGCAGTATGAACGAGTCTGGACCCGATCCTGAGGCGTTTAAGGATCTACGCAGCGCCACTGACATAGCGCTGCGAGCTACAAAAGCCACCGCCCAATCCATCGGCCGTGCTATGGCTAACCTGACTGTCCTTGAGCGCCATCTGTGGCTGACGCTAACAGAGATGAAGGATGCAGATAAGGCGTCATTTCTCGACGCGCCTATCTCCCAAAGCGGCCTGTTTGGACCAGCGGTGAAGGAGTTCGCCGAGCGCTTCACCGAAGCCCGTAAGGATTCACAGGCTATGCGTCACTTCCTGCCCAAGCGATCCAGCTCATCGCAGAGCCGCCAACGGCCGCCTCAGCAGCAGAGAGCTAAAACGGCGCCCCCCGTCTCTCAGCCCAAACCTGAAACGGATTTTCGACGCCGCTCGCGCTCTGCCAACAGGAAACAACCGCCCGAGCGACGGGGGACCTCGGCCCAGGATTGTGCTGAACCCAGAGCCTCGTAAGTCCTCCTAGCTACAGGGAGGAAAAGGGAGAGCGCGTCTCGCAAGAGCCGGACCGTTCTCTCCAAAACGTTTAAAGCATTACCCAGTCCCCTTACAGGCGGCTGGAAATGTCTATACAGCAGCCAATGTGCCAGCCACACAGCTCGCCCACCTGCAAACAAACGCCGTTTTTACGGCGACACACAGAAATCACATAAAGAGCTATTTTCTGCCTGTGTCATTAAAGGGTCACGTGTCCACACCAAAGTGCGCATTCCCACATATCAAAACTGTCAACGCAGTGCCAAATGTTTTCCCAGCTCAGGCTGAACGCCCCATAAATGTAGATTGTGTGCCAACTGTCACGTATGCACCACTACACACAAGCACTGTTCCCACAGTTATAAACACTTCCCCAGTAAAAGCGGGAAGTTGTATAAGAGTAGCGCGTGTGCCCGCTGTTATGCACGCACCCCAACTCACAAACACTGTTTATATGGCCAAAAACCTCCCGCCACGAGCGGGAAGTTTTATGAAAGTGGCGCGCGTGCCTACCACAGTCTATGCACCCCCACCCCTTAAGCACTACACACACAGTGTTAAACATTTCCCCATCTCACTCTGTGAG